AATTAAGTATTGTTTTCGTGACTACCAGTAAATCAGTAATATGACATGTATTCACCCAATTTCGTTTAAGTTGATGAAGGACTGATAGAAGAAAAAAAAGATCTCATATTACTTATTTACTGGTAGTCACGAAAACAATACTCAATTCGAAAAATAAAGTATAGTAGTCAATTGTTATGGCAAATATACGTTTGTTTCATCGACATTCCCACCAAAAGAATATGATACGATTCACATTTGCCCTGTGACCCAAAATGGCGCTCGTGGCAGTGTAGCCGAGTGGTTAGCGTGTCCAGCTCCCATCTTGCACTGTCGCGGTTCGACTCCGGCTGAGAGTGTTGATGAGACCGATGCGAGTTCGAAACGGCAGTCCACTTTTGTGTGGATGAGAACAACTTTTGGGACAGCAAGGCTATGTGAAAATTCAATGGAAACGTCGGCTCTACTCATATCATTGTGGGAAAATTCTTTTTCTATCAGTCCTTCATAATCTTAAACGAAATTGGGTGAATACATCTTGAATTAAATCACTTAACCGACAAGCTGCCAGAAGAGGCAAAGAATTCTAAAGAAAGATCATTTCGATAATGAACTGGATCGGCTCAAACAAATATTTGTTGAGAATAATTATCCTTTAGGTTTGATTGAAAATTGCAAGCAAGATTATGCGAAATTCCATGAAAGTGTAAGGCCAACTCATTTCATTGTTTACAAATTGACCTATCTGTACGCATTTTGGAGAATTCAGCTTTTTTTATCAGATCCATTGATAGTCTCGAATACTTACTAATAAGTCAGCAAACATGTCTCTATCTCAAAAGACGACCTTAACCAAAACAGAGGCCACAACATGCTGGTTTTCACTTTTTATTTGTCGAGTTTATTGGCAGTTCATGTAGTCTTATCTGCTTGTCGGTCGGCTCGAAACTCTGCTCAAAACATGAAGGCGTCTGTGGTGAAGAGGTAGGCTTGCAGCAGGTCGCCTCGAACGGACGGACGACTAATGGGCGGAAGAATGAACTGAGGCGATAGCGACCATTCGTACAGTTGTCTGTAGCATGAGGGTGGGTGGGGTGGTGTCGGACTGCGACGAGAAGAAAGTCTCCTCTTGTGTCGCCATGCTGATGCAAATCGGGAGTAGATGTGTACGAGGGGGGGCGGGGGGCGGAGAGAAAGTGGAC